GCTGCCTGCGTGCACCCTGCCCGGGGTCGTCCTTAGGTCTGATCAGCTGCCTGCGTGCACCCTGCCTGGGGCCGTCCTTAGGTCTGATCCGCTGCCCTCTGGGCACACCCTGCCTGGGGTCGTCCTTAGATCTGATCATGGAAGTGAGGAGAGGAAGATGCATGGAGAGACAGTCAGGAGCACGTATGGTAGACACGTATGTTCATGGCTAAAGTCTTTTCAGTGGATATGAAAAGTTTCTCCTTTATTTTGTACAGTATTTTGCTATTCTGTAAAACTAATACTGTGTTACATTATATGAATGAATTATGGATACTTAAATGTGGTAAAGGAATATGTTCTAGCACAATAGCCTTTAAACGCAGTTTCTTGAAAATGAAGAAAAATATGACTGTGAAAATAAAATTATATCACAATTGCATCTTAGCTGAGTTTAGTTTTTTCTAGAGTCAGAGAGTGCCCCCTCCTTCTTCTGTACATTCTCGTGTGGCCCCGCCCTAAGGCCAGAGGGTGGTGCTGTGACAATGCACAGAAACGGGGGTCTAAGATCCTGCCCTGAGCTTTTGGCCTTGGTGCTTCACAATCAAATGAACCTGAGGATTCCCAGAAGGTGGGGTCCCTGCTGACCCTGCCTGACACGCTCTGCGGGGTCCTGCTACCCCTCCATGCCCCTCTGTGTATCTAACATTTATGTTATGTAAACTAGTAAATTAAATCTATTGAGTTGCAACAATTTTTAATTTATGTTGAGTATTTCTTTTTAAATTAGAATTAAATTTAATTCTATTTAATTACACAGTCAATACAGAAGTAAAGTCAGAAGTTGCTCTTTATTTTTATTCGGCCTTTGCCTTGCCCCTCCCCCTTTTTGTTCTCTCACTCACGGTCTGACACCCCCTTTCTTGAGTTTATTTATTCCTCTGGAACTTATTCTATCCATTTACAGTCATGTGTATTCATATATGATAGAATGGTATTTTTTAAAATCTTAAATGGATGCGATGATATTTTTCATGTATATTGTTCACTAACCTGTTTTTTCCACTTACCAGTAACTGCTTCATGTTGGTGTATATGTATGTATATATACACACAATAATAAACTTTTAAATATATAATTTAAAAAAATTATTGTGGTAAAATGCATATAACAGAAAACTTCTGATTTTAACCATCTTTAAGTTACGGTTCAGTGCCATTAATTGCATTCACATGTTGTGAGGTCATCACCATCATAGATTTCCCAACTGTTTCTTCTCCCCAGACAGAAGCTCTGCACCCGTTAAACACGTAATTTAAAAATGCTGCGGAACGTTCATACCATCAGTGTTTCATGATCAAATCCCCCTGTTGATGGACCGCCATGTCGTCTCACGCATTCAACATTAAGCAATAATGAGGTAAACCTTCTTAGGCAGTGTTTTTCATGTGCGAGTGCTTCAGTAGCAAAGATTCTCAGAGCCAAAATTACTGGGTCAAATTACTAGAGCTTAGTTCTTAGCCTGGCAGCAGCAGCCCTGTGGCCAGCAGGGGGCGTCACGCCCCGTCCATGGCACACCGTCTCTGAGGGGGGCGCCGGGATGGGGAGGGGCCGAGGCAGGGATGCTGACTTTCCCCAGGTTTCTCTGCTTCCCGTCACTGAACTCCAGTCGGCCCACATCTTGGCACGTGGGCTTCGCTCTGGTGCGTCCCAGCTGGTCTCCCTGGCAGCGGGATAGGGCAGCGTGATTATATCTGGCCCGTAGGCCAGGAGCTGAACTGGAGTCTACACTTTGCAGGTTTGGCCCTTGGGAACGATGGGGTATCCTTCTCCCCACCGTCTCCCCTTTTACAGGGCAGGAAATGGTATAGAGGGTTGCAGACCTGCCGTGCCGGCACGGGGTTGCTCACCTGAGACTGTAACGGGAGAAGGAAATGTATTGAGTGTCTGGGTTGCAGCAGCTTAGCCTACCTGTCTCCCACTCATTCAGAATGGAGTGGAGTCAGCAGGACAACTAACTCAGATTTGAGGGATGAGGGAAACAGAGAGTCAAGGACAGACAGATGACTCCTAGGGTGAGTGGCAAAGGTGTAGCTTTGTGCTATGCCAGATGCCCAGCTGTACTCCAACCTGTGCTGCCAGGCCTGAGAGCGCTCATTTCTGACACGCACAGGCCACGCTTGTGGTTTGCCGTCAGGAGTGTCTCAGGGTGGTTCTGGGGATGGTACAGCGTTTTGTTCTGTTTGTTGTACGTGAGGATCCCATGAGTCGGGCCGACTCAGTGGCAGCTAATAACATGTTTAGGGAAATATAAATTTTAGAATCATTGCCTTAGACCACAGGGTGAATCCAAGGGGAAAAGGCACTGGTAACAGGACTTCTCAGAATCTCCTCAGCAACCAGCCTTATTCTTAGCTAGAGTTTAGGAACAGGGGCCAAGGATGAATGGGAAATGCCTCAGCCAAGAAAGCTACTACATCTGAACCTAGAACCGAGCCCAGCCGGTGTCTGAGCGTGTAGAATGGGCTGGCCTGCTCAGTCTTCAGGAGATAGCGGTGACTGAGACCAGGCTCTCTGTGTCCAGGAAACAGCAGCCTCGCTAAGTGGGGGAAGCTGAGGTTTCTTCCCTCCCAACGCGGACGTCTGCTGTGTCCCTTCCGTTGCCCGTTAGACGCAGGGCTCTGTCCTTGTGCAGATGAGCTGTGTGTGTGCGTGGGACCAGTTAGGATTTATCCTAATCCAGACAGATAGTTCACGTCTGCATAACGATGATTGTTACGCTTTGTACCGGGCAAATGGACAAAAAAAGACTAGTGCCGAAGTCCTTAAAGTAACTTAGTTTGGATGGAGCCTCCCACGGTGGGGACAAGGCTGTTGCTGGGAAACCAGACTGGAAGTTATTGCTCAGTGAAGGTCTTGGCACAGACCAGGGACCAGATGGGCAGCAGCAGTGCCGAGACAACGCTGTGGTCGAGTTGTCGGTGTAACATGGAGGATGCTTTCGCGTGTGATAAAAGGTGAAAACCCAGTAGCAGCCAGTGGGCTGGTGGTGACAGAGGACTTGTCCGCAGAGGTGGGAAGCTGAAGTCGAGTGTCCTCTCCACCCAAGGTACCAGAGCCGCCTCGCACTCTCGCACTGAGGAACCGTTTAGTTCTTAGTTTGATAAAACAACGCCCTCATCTTCTCAGTCTTGGTTCCATTTTCAAAAGGAAACAACCACAAATCTGGCTTTTCTTGTCGGTGCTTAGTTGTTTACACGTTGTTGGTGGTGCTGCCAAGTCGATTGTGACTCACGGCGACCCCAAGAGTTAGAGTGGGGCTGCCCGTAGGGTTTTCCTGGCTGTGATCTTAACGAAAGCAGGCCTGTCTTCCATGATGCTGCTGGGTGGTTTCAAACCGCCAACCTTTAGGTTTGCAGTCGACCGCAAACCGTTTGCCCCACCTGGGGACGTTTTACACACTTTAAGGGTGAATTTAACGTTGGCTCGGCCGATGAGATCTGTCCTGGATCATTTTCCAGTTCCCTCCGAGTTTGAATATATGTGTAATTGATCCACTTAGATCACATTATTTATTTTCAAAATAAAAACATTTCAGGAGAACATTAACAATTGATTATTTTAGAGATTCAGACAAATCTATCTGGATTAGAGGCCTTCTCCAAGTTACTGAATACAGTTTCAAAAAAACAGCAAAAGCAGCAACTTTGATGGCAGACAGGAATGAGAACTGACTTCTTGGAAGGCTCCAAATCAGATTTGTCCAAAATTGTGGCTTGTGACTTTAAAACAAAACTTCTTCCCCAAATCTAGAATCACAAATCAAACTTCGTATGCTGTGTGTACTGCCCCCATGAGGCCAATAACCCCCAGATGTTATGAAGCATCCCTTTGATGTTCCCTTCCAACCTGGCACAATGATTAAGCACTCAGCTGCTAACGAAAGATTGGCAGTTTGAACCCATTCAGCAGCTCCAGAGGAGAAAAGACCTGGCGATCTGCACCCCTAAAGATTACAGCCTAGAAAACCCTATGGGGGCATTTCTACTGTGTCACATGGGGTCACTGTGAGTCAGAATCAACTCGATGGCACCAAAGAACAAGAAGAAGCCAGGATTACAAGTTAACTTGGAAGGTTGCTGGGTTAATCTCCTATCATATTGAAAGAAATGAGTAGTTTGCATCTACAAATTCCCTCGATCATACAATTAAAGGGTCGTCAAATGTACCAGGGTAGTTATCTGAACTGTATTCACATACACACTAAAGTCAGTGAACTGCCTTCAGCTGACACAATCGCAGAAATACAACCAACTCACTTGCCTAAGGTTTATTGACAACGCACGTTTCTGGAATGTTCTGTATGAGCTTTTAGAGGAACTCACATAAGACAAAGTGTAATTACCTCCTCTGCCTGCCCTCATCCCACGGAACAGAAGGCGTTAAATTGGAACTGTTCTGATTCCCTCAAGGTCCAGGAGGCATCAGCAAGCAGAATCTCATTCACTGAAATGCAGACTTTTTCTTGATGTGTGGACTTCAAGCAGGAGCTC